CAACCATTCTGAGTGAATTGTAAACTAAAAAAACAGAAGGTCTTTCAGGCTTGACTACAAGAAGGCATAAAAATGGATCTGTGCTCTCCAAGGATTCCATACCCACAAGTCTTTATCTTGGAATGTTGCTCCCCTCAGTTGTTCCAGTCAACACTTACCTCACTGCACAGCCAGCCCAGTCCTGTGCAATCCCTCTAAACATTTTAACTCCCTCTCCTGTTTCTCTTGTGGACCCCTCCTCACGCACAGTGCTGCCCCTTCAGTTCCTGGAACGGCCCCTGGGTTTTGGTTTTTGTTTTAAATAGAAACAACATTGCAAAAAATCTCTCTAGCAGAATCAGGGCATTTAGAGATTTGCTGATGCCCCTGTGGAAAACTTTGTGTCGTTATCTTTCCAACCAGTTCTGCTGACAGATCATTTGCTATTTATGGTCCTCCTCCCTTGTTGTGTGCTACTGAAAAAAGTATAGTGGACTTTTTTCCAAACCTATCCAGATTTTTGAGACAGGTTTCTGCATCCCAAAGCCTGAATCTGTTGCCTCTGTGTGCACTGCTGCAGGCAGCTGGGATCTCCAAAGTGTGGCTGGAGACAGAAGGCTGTCAGCTGCGAGTACCAGCTGGGTCTTGTCCCGTGTTTCTCATTTCAGATGAGCATTGCTCTCCAAGCTGAAAACAGTCAAGTGCCCAAGATTTCAGAGATGTCCCCTTCATTGAGTTTTACTTTCCTCCTCTTGAACTCTAGATGCTGCAATTTATATTTGAAGCCCTATAAATGCAAACAAATAGGATTTTGCAATATCACATTTCACTCTGAGAAGACACACAAGACTTCTGTCAGCAGCGTTTCCTGTTCTCTCTCAAAAGGATCCCTGTGAAAAAAGCTGAGCACTTTCGATCACCACTGGCCCTTTGTTAAATTAAGGGAGAAGAGCAAACTCTGAGGAAGGAGTCCGACAGCCCTGCAATATAATTAAGGAGGAAGAGCAGAGTGCAGAACGCACCGCAGTGCTCCAGGTTCCCTCTGCTTGTATTGCATTGGACCTTGCAGTGTGCAGCCAGGCACTGAGACTCTTTATCCATAGTACCTGTTTGTACTGATCTTCTGAAGAATGGCATGCTACAACAAAGATGCTGTTGCATCTGGAAAAAGCTACTGTGTTTCAAGACCTGTGTAGTCTTTTCCTATAGCATTATCAGTCATCTCATATGAGGTGCAGGTAGGGACCAAGCTTTGCACCAATCCTTTACCCTACCTGTTAACCCCAAGGCCACGTACGCTTTCTTACCTGACAAGAAGACCAAGAAGATGAGGTGCACAAGCTTCTCCATGCCAGCTGAGCAGAGAAGGAGCCTGGAGAAAAGTGAAAAGAGCTCTTGCCCAAGAGCAGCTTGCTTTTCCCCCCTCCTTGCTCTGCCGGAAGGAATGAGCACAGGAACTTGGCATCTTTTTTGACCTGCATATTGAGCAATTCAGCAGGGATGGGCATTTCTCTCGTGGGCTGAAAATTCAGGCATCAGCACTGCCCACTCATAGCCACAATTTAGTCTAGACAGCCTGAAAGAGAGCATCATGTGATGGCCTGAAACTGGTACTGGAGTCCCTGTGAGCTCTGCAATGGCTTTACATGCAAGCTTTGCATGGGTGAGTTTCTGGAAAGCCGAAAGGGAAAGCGCGGCTTTCATCAAGACTCTGCAGGTAGCTCAGTCAGCATCACCAGGGTGAAGGGACGGCAAGGACATAATCTTGGGGTTTACCTTCAGGGGAAAGGAGGCTTAGAAGAGGCTGTGCATGAAGTACTCCTATTTAACATATAGCCAAGGACAGGAAGAAAAGAACACTGTGCTAGGTGAAGCTGTGAGGTGCTTTAGATGAGCAAAACAGACATCTTTATTTTGTACCTAGCAGAAAGGACATAAGACCAAGGGATGATGCCGTAGTTCAGGACTGCGGTTAAGGGAGCCTTCTTTACCGTTAGCAAACTGGTAAGCTGTGGATCCGTTACTATTTTTTCTTTTTTGAATTTATTTACTTGGAGATCTTCCATGCAAGTACCAATAGACCCTGGCTTCTTAACCTGTGTGCTTATCTGCTTCTTAACAGGCAGATAAACCTGCAAGCCTATCCATTCATGAATGTGCCTTCTTTTTCTCTCCTCTAATTAGTGTCGAAGAAAATGGAACCTTACAGTATCCAAAAATTCTCTGTGAGGCTTACTGATTGCAGTTTTTGTTCATTCTTTCTTGAGTGAGCACAAATCTGTATTCTCTTTGATCAGAAGCAACTGTCTCCCTGAAAATGTCTATTTTGAACTCAATTGTTTTCTACTATTACTCTTCCACTGTTTGACCCAGTGTAACTGACTGCATGAATAGCAAATAGGGGAATCTTGGGCTGAATGAACCATTTCCAGAACCATTTTCTTTTTCTTTCTTTCATTTCAAGTTAACCATGTCAATTCTGAAGATCTCAAAAAATAGATCAGCTTCCCTGGTGCAGCCATAGCAAGAGAAGCCTATTTGACCCATTGTAACTGACTGCATGAATAGCAAACAGTTAGGGGAATCTTGGGCTGAATGAACCATTTCCAGAACCATTTTCTTTTTCTTTCTTTCATTTCAAGTTAACCATGTCAATTCTGAAGATCTCAAAAAATAGATCAGCTTCCCTGGTGCAGCCATAGCAAGAGAAGCCTATTGGATGTGACTGGCTTGTGAACAGGGAGTGCTTCAATTTGCCACCTGTTTGCAGAGCTTGGTGCAGCCAAATAAAGTGCCAGGGTTTCTGGTCTTTTGGAGAAATTCACCTGAGCCCCAGCAAACTCATTTCATATCGCTCACCACATGACTGCTAAATAAAGGCAGCAAATGTGTAATTTGGAGTATTTCCAGCAGAGAGAGGGAAATAATGCTATCGATTTCCAAGGCCCTGGTGAGCTCTCCTATGAAACTGCACATGCATTTCTGCTCTCCTGGGACTTTAGAAGAAGCCACAAAAGTTACTTTCTGTGGTGTAGCCAAGAAAACAAAAAGTGCTGGAAGCAGGCGTGCTGGTTTGTATTGGTCTTCCAAAGAACTTACAAAGAACCAGCTGCACTGGTGAATTGGCAGAGAAGAGCTGATTAAAGTACAGCACAGTGCTGCAGAAGAACAGAGCTACATCTGAGACTGGCTGGATAGTGATTCCTGAAGAGATATAAAGATGCCTCGTAAAAATGAAGGTGAGACACCAAATCCATTGGAAAAACATGTTTGATAGTTTATAGTGTGATTATTCAGGATAGCAGGGTTTGATGAGGTCCCAGCCACTCTAGTGTTTCTGCAAGCTCTTAGAAAGTGCCAACCTGCATCAGAGCTGCACTGGAGATCCATAAATATATTGTGTGTCTGACTCACTTGGACATTTACATCTGTAAATAATCCACTCATAATTACCATCTTGTCCCTTCTGTTATATCAGCTGATGTTGAGACCAGCCCTCTTATGCTCATACTTCTTCCTCTTGTTGTCTGTGTCACACTTCCTGCAACTTCTTCGCACAGCCTACCGATTTCTCGCTCAGTGCTACTGTCTGTACAGACCTTCCTCATGTCTATCTGTCTCAGGGCTTGTCCCTGCAGTTAGCACAGCAAGGAAAATTCTGTTAAAAAACGTTCCAGTGCCCTGTCCACTCCTCTAGTGCAATACTACATGTTCTTTTCTTCTTTCCTTTCTCCAGAAATACTAAGTTTTGGTTCTCCTTGCTTGTCTTGATTCCACACTGCCTTGGTTTAAGCAGCCAGTTTGTGTGTTCTTGGGGAACACGGGGTGTAAGACAGCAGGCCAGCCAGAAGTTGTTGAACAAAGTAAGGGCCTTTGATCAGGGGGTGGTGAAAGGATGGGGCAGTATGCACAAGCTACACATGGGAATCCATGCCTGTAACTTCAGATTTCAGCTGCTGCTTCATTCTGTTTTCAATGTATGGGCCTCAAAGACTGCATAAATATGCTGTGGCTGTGGCTGACCCTGAGAGCAAATTCAGCCCTCACAGTGGGAAACAATTGAGTTGTCCTGAGGGTAGAGTGTTGGTGGCTCTCACTAAGGTAAGCCATAGCAGCCACACTGAATCCTTCCCACAACCCTCTGCACTCTGTAAAGGGACACCTGTACGCACTCAGAAGTGACATCACCTTCGTTCCCTCCTACCCCCAAACAGCAGCATGCACACTCTATTTCATGATCTAAAGCTAAACATTTGGCTTTAGTTTGAAAGACTCTTACCATCTGGCTTCTTACCTAAGCAGACTGATAAATTTTGGTTATAGGGGAATTTGCATTAAGTCTCAAAAAGCATATGTATTACTTCTATGCACCATTGTCATTTTGTAGCTACAAGACCTTCTGGTGCTCAGATTCATACAGCACAATCCTCAATTTGCAAAGTTTGCAATGCAGCATATCATCGTGTTGCAAGACACCCTCAAGCTATTTGCCTTCAGGCAGATGCTGGTTCTGCTTATTCCTATAATCCAGTGTTCATATTCCCCGCACATTACATGGCAAATGAACCCGGTCACAGCAATGTTAGAGTTTTATCCCTACAGCACTGGAATGAGTTTGCTTGGCAATAGTAGCTCAACCCTTAAGAGTGGGATAGAGTTTCTACCAGACAACATAGTTGAAATACCAAACCCATCCCTGTCCAGATGAATATTGCTCTTTTTCAAAAGGTCAGTCCTCCACACCTGCCTCTCCAAAGAGAAGACTGAAGAAAGCAGATGTGCAAGGGATCCTGAGAATTACCCAGCCCCTATGTCTGACCTGAGAGAATCCGCACGCTTTTGGCAAAATTCTCTTGTGGCCTCTAATAAGAGGGAGATCTTAAAATGCATAGGCAACATACACATGGCAGCAAAAACTTGGATCTTTTCTCAGTGTCCATTCACACACCTTCTACTCCCCATTCCCACTTTGTATTCCAATTCTTTTCTCCCATTTATGGATTGTTTTGGGATTCTGTGCTTCATCCTTTGTCATTTGTTGATAACTGCTTGAGTGCAATGACAGCATATTCCACATTTTCATCTTCGGCTTTCCTGTGAGCCTGACTTGGTTCAACATTACAGTAGAGAGGATCCTCAGAGCTGAGTCGGGATTTAAAGTTCAGGGTAACATATTTGAGGTCTTTGCTGTCATCATTGGGACCTTCTATTCTTTCAGTGCCATCAAGCTATGAAAAGAAAAGGAAAACACTTGTTAGCATGATTCAGTGCTAGGCCACAGCTGTTATCAAAAGAACAAGATTTTCCCAGGAGCAAAGGAGAAACCATGTAAAAAACTTACCTTCGGTCATGACAGAGGTGGAAGAACAGAAAACTCTTCCTTCACCACCTCTCCTTGATACAGGTTACAACCTCATTGTCTAACCTTGGTTTCTAATCTTTGAGTCATTTCTCAGAGATTACTAGAATTTGCTCTACTGTGTTTTTTTCCTACTGGAGTTTCCTTACACTAATTACCCCCCTCTCTCTCCAGCTAGGAACATTCCTCTCTCTAGGGACATTAAATACTATCTCTCCTCCTGCTCACAACCAAAAATGACCACCAAGGTCCTCATCAGCTGGGTCAGCCAGCTCTTCACAGACTATTGGAAAGGGATTCAGGTACCATATGGGAAATCTCCTGTTTTCCTTACCTGTGCTATGTCCTCTGGTTTCTCATAGATGTCCTCTTCTTGTCTGGTACCTTTGGAATGAGCCAAAATCAGAGGTTTTAGAAGTAGAGAAGTCCATGAAATGCCTGGGCATTGCCTATGCTTCAGGAGTTTTGGGAAAGGCTGTGGGATTGCCCAGGAATAGAAGCAACGGGTGTGCCAGTGGGACCTGTCTACCCTGAATCTGATGAACATGTTGCTCTTGCTTCTCCTCTAACATGTTAGGAGGTGTCCTGTCCAGAGTCTGGAGAAACGTGGGTTTGACTTATTGTGAGAGGAGATCACAGCAAGGAGCCTGCCTTGAGGCCTCCCAGGCTGTACCAGCCTTATCTTCTCCAGGGCACTGCGAGTTGGGAGTAAGCTTGCCTGGAGTGGAAAAGCGATGGCCAGAGAAGGCCCTGTTTAGTACAGACTAGAACACGAGGCATCACCAGTCTCCACATACCTCTTCTCTTCAGCTGCTTGCGTCGCCTGACGCACAGTGTTACTGAGCTGATGAGCGCCAGGATGAACAGAATGCTCAGGACTCCAGAGATTAGGATGATGGTATTTACATTTGAGCTGAGGCCAAGAGAGCAAAGGAGTTACCAGTGTTAGATGGTAGCACAGCATGATGCTGGCACAGCCCATTACCAAACAGTGACCAAAAAAAAAAGGGACAGGAATAGCTTTTATACACTTGAAGGAGGGTCTGGTTCTGTTGCAGCAATGCTATCTTGATTTTTCTACCTGGCTGTGCTTTCTGAGCTTTTCCTAAACTACTCTCCAGGCTTTTAAAACGAGCCACTGTTCAAAGTTCAGAGCACAGTTCCAGGTGCTCTGGAAGCCTTTTCCTCCTGTGTTTTCCCACACCTGGCGCACTGGGAGCCGACGTACGATTATACTCTGTACAGTGCTGCTGTAGTGTTGATGACAGCAGATGTCCGAAGAGGAAGAAAATCCTTTACATTTAACAGCCTGGTAAATGGATAAAATAGCAGCCAAGGACTATTTCACTGTTAAATATTCATGGACAGGAGTGAGCAAAATGGAGACAGAAAGGCTGGGGACAGAATCTAGGGGTTTCTATTGCTGCAAAGAGCACAGCCCAAAGAGATAAGGATAAAAAAGTAAATAGGCATGTACATTCCAGAAAGCTGTGACTTGATTTTATCAACGTACTTCTTCCTTTGTAATTACACTCTGGGCGGGAGCTGGAAGAGGAAAGGCCATCTTTGGTAAGGACACCTGACATATCTAATTCCTCTGTGAGCAGCAGTCTTCAGAATGCCCAGAAACTGCTTTCCCCAGGAAGACAGGCATATTGTGGACGAGACATTAATAACTCTTGTCTCTGTTCAAGCTCAGAGACTTACTCTAGGCCTTACCTCAGTGCTGTGGTGTTGCCAGAAAGGGTTGTTGGACTTGTGCCTGCAGTACCTGACAAAGTTGTTTCATCCAGTGCTGCAATCACAAACATGAAGAGAAGAATAATTGCTACTGGGCTGCTTTGGATTTACTAGCTAAACTTCCCTGCCATTGCTATGTGGATATAAATCCTTTCCTGCTGCGACACCCAATACAGACAAGCTGCCCAGGCTCTAACCTGTGTCGTTCAGACTTGCTGGCAGTAGGCAAAGCAATGTAAGGATGAAAACGTGGGAGGGAAGGGCAAGGAGCTCAGCAGTAACCCCTCTCTGTGCATACCCACCCCAATGCATGGCAGAAGGAAGTGCAAGCAAGTGCAAGCAGATATGCTCTATGGCAAAGATCTTCAGGTAGCAATGAAGTACTTAACAACTCTGTGCTTATGCAGAGGCTTGCAAAAACTAAGCAAAGAAAGAGCATTGTCTGCGAAAGACTCAGCTGTAAGAATTGCTTCCAGGACTGTTTCTGTGCCCAGGGGAGGTTGTGTATGCAGAAGCCTGCTCACTTAGAGACTGCATTCAGTCCCATGTGTAGGATTTTCTCCTAGAGAATTATGCCATCCCCTCTCATCTTCTGGATTGCCATATCCCTTCAGAGCCACTCTGCCACATTCCAGACAGGCTGCAGCAGGGTGCTGGTCTGCCACAATCAGGTGCCTAAGTGTTAAAACATCATGCTGAAAGAAAACCTAGAAGTCACAGATCTTTAAAATATGCATCTAAAGGTTGTCCCCTTGGCAACCAAACAGGAAGGTGTTAATGGTCTTTGAAAGCCAGGGGATGAGTTGCTGCAAAGGGACAGAATTGGTATCATGAGAATGAGTGGCAGTAGTACCTCTGTGAAAATGACTGAAACTGCTGTCACGTAAAAGACAAGCAACACAGCACATTTGTGTGGTTCAGTTCTGATCCTTGCTGCTATTCCATAGCATGGTTGGTGTGAGAAGGTACAATGATGTAGGGTTTGGGCAGGGAAACACACCCAGATGTAATGTGGGAGGTGGTGTAAGCTGGGCAGTGCAAAGACTAGAGGGAGAGAGTAGATCAGTGAGTCTGGAATCTGCAACCAACCACATTTCCCTGCAGGTCAGTACTCACCGTCAGAAATATTGAGCGTAACCTCCACCATTCGGAAAAGATGATTGTGCTCATAAAGCGCACACCAGTACACGCCGGAATCCTGTGCCTGCAGCTTCTCCATGGTGACGGTGACAATCCCCTGCTGGGTGTTGTCCTGCATTGTCACTCTGCCTTGCTGAGGTGTCCTTGAAGTACTCCAATTTGTGTAGGCCAGTATGGTACATGGTTTCCCATCTTCCTCTTTGCACCAGGCTTTGCTTACAGCCCCATAGTCCGTGGCGTTGTATAGACACTGGACAGAGACATTTCCCAATTCCTTGGCTGAGTATTGCTGGGTCCCTGGAAAACACCCGGCATGTTTGGTGAGATCCCAAAGCAGGCACAATGGCACGCCCTCCCCATCACTAGAATACATGCTGTGGGCTGAATGCTCCCTGGGTATCCTTCTACCTCCAGACATGAGGAGCAGAAGGAGACTGGACCCAGATTACTTGTTCTGAGGCGAGTCACAAATTGGGTGGGGTCCTGTTCCCTTCCTTTGGTTCCCCTAGGGTTGCATGCTCACAGGTGCTCAACCCATAGGGTCTGGGAGGCAAGGACCAGGGAGGGCTGGCAGCTGCGGGGCCAGAGCAAGAGCAATGCTGGGCAATGGGGAGGTCTCCAGCAGTGCCCAGCGTGGGCCAGCTGAGTGCTGAGCTGGGGAAGCTGCTCCTGGAACCCTTGGATCAGCCCTGCGGGAAGCAGTTGTGAAGAATGGGACCATTTGTGGGAGCTCATGGTAAACTCCACGGAGTCTCTGCTGGGAACAGACAGGCACGAAGGGGAGCTGGGGCTGAAATCTGCCAACAGGCACACTTAGCTAGCAAGTAGGTACTCACTCTTGGACACAGAGAGCTGGACTTCCATTATGTGGGTGGGACGAGAGCGTCTGTAGAACTCACATGCGTACATGCTGCTGTCCTGGGCCTGCAGCTTCTTCATGGTAATGGTGATAATCCTGTTCTGGGTGTCATCCTGGATCAATGTTCTGCCTTCCAGAGCTTTGCTATTGCGCCGTGTTGAAGGGTAATCTGTGCTCACTGCATCT